TTCTTTCCAGTCGCATGTCTCACATAGACAGAAGACATATAAACAGTTAAAGATCACGTTTGCTTCTTAGGGACGTGGATACCTGTGTCCTTAAACGAATGATATGCAAGTCAGTGTTATTAGAGAGACCAGACTGTTTTGTCAGTACCAACCACTGACACTTAAAACTGGTGAAACGGCAGCGTGGACTTTGAGGTAGTGTTGCTGAGTGAGCAATCAATGCAGACATCCGGGGCTTTATTGATATCTCCACAGCCGACACTTTACATTTCAACATGCATGAGTGGTCCTCAGTATCCACAATCATTACCAAACCGAAAATAGTGGAGTCGGTAGGGCGAGCGGGGTGGTGTAAAGTAAGCGTGGTGTTTGTCCACCCGGTGTTTATCTTCAACATATGGTGTCAGTATTGGAACGTGGACGGGGTAGATGTGCAACTTGGTTTAAGGATTGATTATGCTCATATCCGAATGTTTTTGTGTGGTAGAGTTAGCAGTGTTCCATCAATACAGCAGAGATTATAAAGCGCCCACATTGCACTCGGCAATGGTGACAGATGTGTGTCATCCAGTCTGTGGGGTACCAACTGATCTGGCTGTGATGTCCAATGTTTACTTATGTGTGTATGCGTGCCTTCGTGTGTATGTATTAGTGATTGTATGTGTGAGTGTGAGAAAGACGACACACACAGAGTACGTGTGTGTCTGCGTGCCTTCGTGCGTATGTACTAGTGATTGCATGTGAGTGTGAGTGTGTGAGAGAGAAAGACGACACACGGAGAGTACGGGTGTGTATGTGTGCGTGGCTTCGTGCGTATGTATTAGTGAATGTATATGAGCGTGTGTGAGAAAGAAACGACAGAGGGAGTGCGTGTGTGTGCGCATGCCTTTTTGTGCACGTGTACGTGACTGTATGTTGTCAACAATTGTACGAGAGAGAGAGAGAGAAAGTGAGAGAGAGAGAGACAGTGTGTGTGTGTGTGTGTGTATTGAGGGCAATTTCATTGAGATTCAATGCCTTCCAACTCTGAATGTCAACGCAGTGTGATGGACTGATAGTTAGAATGGAGTTCTATGTCTGTTAGCTGAGAAGATCCAATGTCAATCCATTGTGAGGAATTCATTCTTAAAGTCGGTCCATTGTGTAGCATTCCATACATGTACATCATCTGTGTAGTCTCAATGCAAATCCATGGTCTTTGTGATGACAATACAATATACGTGTAGATTCAGTGTCAGTCTATTTTGGGCATTCAATGTCCATCCTCTTATTTCAAGTGAAATATGAACACGTGAACTCCTGACAGAGTTTCTATTATCACCACGTAAGTATCGAAGATCGTTAAGTCAAACATTCACAAAAGCTGCACAATGCTGTCATCGGCGTGACACATGATAATATCGGTGAAACAGCGGACAACATGTTTTCTACTTGCAGTGTCACAGTATCAAAGCGATGTTTGTGTCAACAGCAGAAACTAAATGCGTTACAGTATTCATAAATACTCATAGAGAGAACTAATTTAGTTCACAATATATGGAGGCGACACATTTACATAGATGTGGTCGTCCAATGACCGTGATAACAAGGGGTAGGTTCCACTAGTCATCATCAGTCTAACTGACGCTAAATGTCAAGTAGACGCCGAACCTCCAATAGGCGACGAACCACCAATAGACGTCGCGCCTCCAATAGACGCCGAACCACTAATAGACGTCGCACCTGCAATAGACGCCGAACCACCAATAGACGCCGAACCACCGATAGACGCCGAACCACCAATAGACGTCATACCTCCAATAGACGCCGAACCACCAAGAGACGGCACACCTCCAATAGACGCCGAACCACCAATAGTCGCCGAACCACCAATAGACGTCGCACCTCCAATAGACGCCAAACCACCAATAAACGCTGGTACACCAATAGACGTCACACCTCCAATAGACGCGGGTGCAGTGGAAATACGCTTATAGACCAGCGACTCTAATAGACGCCAGATCAAACCAAACCGTGACAAAGGAGGTCATGTCTCTCATACATACCGGGTCGAAGCCAAATTGATTGAGTAACCGTGTCAAGTAGGCAGTAAATGATTTATCCCCATTTGGAAACCTCATAAGTAAATACATCAATGAACTATGTATAATACAAGTGAACAGCGACGGTAAGATAATGAGAAACTGGCAGCACCAACACAGCGGATCGATCTGTTCACGAAGCAGTGTAGAAACACTTCGGTCCGGATCTACAATAAACGTCGGGAAATGTCCTGATACGTTACCTCTCTCCTTGTATACTGTACTCATCGTGCTGTATCTGACTGTGTATTTCAACTACTACCTCCACAACCACAGTCTCGAACACAGTGTATTTAGACGTGTGACCACAGTAGAGATCTAAAGAAGAGTGAATGAGTTTAGTTTTACGCCGCTCTCAGCAATATTCCAGCACTATGGCGGCGGTCTTTAAATAAAAGAGTCTGGACCAGACAATCCAGTGATCAACAGCATGAACATCGGTCTACGCAATTGGGATACTATGACATGTGTCAACCAAGTCAGAGAGCCTGACCACCCGATCCCGTTAGTCGCCCCTTACGACAAGCATGGGTTGCTGAAGGTCAATTCTAACCCGGGTCTAAAGAAGAACAATTGATGAAAACAGAAGAAGTAAAACAAAACACAAATATCAACACATACCTCTGTATTGATTTTATCTCATCCTGAAATTGAATTACGCTAACATACATATGTATTACGGATCAAGATAACGGTCAATGCAATTGTCAATGCATGTAACTGCACACAGTGTGCCAACAGCTGTGTGCTTGAGGTGTTACTGCCAACTATGTCCATCGACCAGGAAATATCAGATAATGCATGGATAACAACTTCGTTTTTCACGACGCTACAAATTTGTCACCCATGACATTCCAGTTATTACCTACATCGTCGTATAGCGTGTCAATCAAAGGCCTATTACTGTATATTGGTTCCATCTTTCTCAACAAACCTATCATCGCCCCACGTTAGCGACAGGGCCACGTGAGTGCTTTACGTGCCAGATGCTATTGAATCTTCCTCAGGCCGCGTCCCCGCGCTCTTTCAACGTAAATATTTCAATCAGCCCATTGGAGGTTTTACATCCACCAGCAGCTGCAGCTGCAGGGTGAGTCGATAGAAAGATGTATACAACTTCGATAATCACTCACTGATTCGCGTACCCGCTGGGACTTAATTATTCAGCATTTCAACCGAAATTAAACAGTGTTTTCTTCAGTTACCGTTAATGATGTTTCTGTGTAGATTGGCTGTATGCGTCAGCATTTGACACTTGCTGAATTGCAAGGAAGGGAAAGTCGAGAGAGGCGTCGCTTTGCGCCATGATGTGATGTGCCAGGATTTGGACCAGCGTGTACAATCTGCATCAGTTCAGGACAAAGGGGGGCGGTGGGGTAGCCTAGTAGTTAAAGCGTTCGCTCGTCACGCCTTAGACCCGGGTTCGATTCCCCACATTGGTACAATGTGTGAAGCTCATTTCTGGTGTTCCCTGCCGTGATATAGCTGGAATATTGTTAAAAGCGGTGTAAAACTGAACTCACTCACTCAGGACAAAGGTTTTACTGGTAGCAGGATGTTTCGCCATTACTAAGCCGTTCCCCGGGCATCATGAGTTGTTGTGCACAATCAAATATGAAATATAAATAATGTAATTTGACACCTGGTAAGATCAAATATCGTACACTGAAATATCTCGAATATCCGTTGTGTCGAATAAGCGGAGTGTCGACACTGGACCGCAAAGACCTGCAAAGACCGTTCAATCGTCTTCATTTCATAAATGATATATCGTGTTCGATTAACGAAGTTTCATTTAAGATGCAATCGATGCATGCTTTTAGTGATAAAATGACATATCCTATAGTTATTAACCGTTTATTCATCATGTGAGGTTTAGCGTGTTTATTTATTCACGTCAACGAGTCCCTGAACAGGCCATGGCGCTATTTCATTACATTATTGAAATGTTATCATTATTATGCACCTTTGATCTTACCATGACTCGAAAGTCGTATACTGGAACAGAAATGAGCAACATAGAAGAACCAATGTACGTCAATAGAACTCTTTGCAAAACAGCTCCGTATCAAACAAATTGACTTCAGGGTATAAACAATATGCACGTAGTCGGTGTTCTTTAGCACAGTGGAATCAGATGAAGGCACTGTAACAGCAATGTTGTGGGAAGGACGCAGTCGCTTGTCTCCAAGTTTCTAGGGTTACGGATGTGCCCTACATTGAAAAACGAAGACACACGTGATGTCTCCTTGACACGTGACGTTTTACACACTCGCCTCCATTCAACAAGCAGTGAATGTTTATCCGACTCGTAACAGAGACAAACTTGCAGCTTGGGTTGTATACTACCAAATTGATAGCTGGAATATTGCTGAGTGCGGCGTAAAACTAACCTCACTCACCACCAATCTAAGATGAGAATGTGCAGCCGACTTTATGCGGTGGTAATAGAGACAAAATGGAGGTTGGGTTGTATACTACCATATGGAGATGGTAATGTGTATCCAGCTGTAATAGAGCCAAACTTGCAGCTTGGGTTGTATACTCCCAGTGGAGATAAGAATGTGTATCCAGGTGTAATTGAGCCAAACTTGCAGCTTGGGTTGTATACTCCCAGTGGAGATAAGAATGTGTATCCAGCTGTAATAGAGACAAACTTGCAGCTTGGGTTGTATACTCCCAGTGGAGATAAGAATGTGTATCCAGCTGTAATTGAGCCAAACTTGCAGCTTGGGTTGTATACTACCATATGGAGATGGTAATGTGTATCCAGCTGTAATAGAGACAAACTTGCAGCTTGGGTTGTATACTCCCAGTGGAGATAAGAATGTGTATCCAGCTGTAATAGAGCCAAACTTGCAGCTTGGGTTGTATACTACCCAGTGGAGATAAGAATGTGTATCCAGCTGTAATAGAGACAAACTTGCAGCTTGGGTTGTATACTCCCAGTGGAGATAAGAATGTGTATCCAGCTGTAATAGAGCCAAACTTGCAGCTTGGGTTGTATACTCCCAGTGGAGATGAGAATGTGTATCCAGCTGTAATAGAGCCAAACTTGCAGCTTGGGTTGTATACTCCCAGTGGAGATGAGAATGTGTATCCAGCTGTAATAGAGCCAAACTTGCAGCTTGGGTTGTATACTACCATATGGAGATAAGAATGTGTATCCAGCTGTAATAGAGCCAAACTTGCAGCTTGGGTTGTATACTCCCAGTGGAGATAAGAATGTGTATCCAGCTGTAATAGAGCCAAACTTGCAGCTTGGGTTGTATACTCCCAGTGGAGATAAGAATGTGTATCCAGCTGTAATAGAGCCAAACTTGCAGCTTGGGTTGTATACTCCCAGTGGAGATAAGAATGTGTATCCAGCTGTAATAGAGCCAAACTTGCAGCTTGGGTTGTATACTCCCAGTGGAGATAAGAATGTGTATCCAGCTGTAATAGAGCCAAACTTGCAGCTTGGGTTGTATACTCCCAGTGGAGATAAGAATGTGTATCCAGCTGTAATAGAGCCAAACTTGCAGCTTGGGTTGTATACTCCCAGTGGAGATAAGAATGTGTATCCAGCTGTAATAGAGCCAAACTTGCAGCTTGGGTTGTATACTCCCAGTGGAGATGAGAATGTGTATCCAGCTGTAATAGAGCCAAACTTGCAGCTTGGGTTGTATACTCCCAGTGGAGATGAGAATGTGTATCCAGCTGTAATAGAGCCAAACTTGCAGCTTGGGTTGTATACTCCCAGTGGAGATAAGAATGTGTATCCAGCTGTGTAATAGAGCCAAACTTGCAGCTTGGGTTGTATACTCCCAGTGGAGATAAGAATGTGTATCCAGCTGTAATAGAGCCAAACTTGCAGCTTGGGTTGTATACTACCAGTGGAGATGAGAATGTGTATCCAGCTGTAATAGAGCCAAACTTGCAGCTTGGGTTGTATACTCCCAGTGGAGATAAGAATGTGTATCCAGCTGTAATAGAGCCAAACTTGCAGCTTGGGTTGTATACTCCCAGTGGAGATAAGAATGTGTATCCAGCTGTAATAGAGCCAAACTTGCAGCTTGGGTTGTATACTCCCAGTGGAGATAAGAATGTGTATCCAGCTGTAATAGAGCCAAACTTGCAGCTTGGGTTGTATACTCCCAGTGGAGATGAGAATGTGTATCCAGCTGTAATAGAGCCAAACTTGCAGCTTGGGTTGTATACTCCCAGTGGAGATGAGAATGTGTATCCAGCTGTAATAGAGCCAAACTTGCAGCTTGGGTTGTATACTCCCAGTGGAGATAAGAATGTGTATCCAGCTGTAATAGAGCCAAACTTGCAGCTTGGGTTGTATACTACCATATGGAGATAAGAATGTGTATCCAGCTGTAATAGAGCCAAACTTGCAGCTTGGGTTGTATACTCCCAGTGGAGATGAGAATGTGTATCCAGCTGTAATAGAGCCAAACTTGCAGCTTGGGTTGTATACTACCAGTGGAGATAAGAATGTGTATCCAGCTGTAATAGAGCCAAACTTGCAGCTTGGGTTGTATACTACCATATGGAGATAAGAATGTGTATCCAGCTGTAATAGAGCCAAACTTGCAGCTTGGGTTGTATACTACCATATGGAGATAAGAATGTGTATCCAGCTGTAATAGAGCCAAACTTGCAGCTTGGGTTGTATACTCCCAGTGGAGATGAGAATGTGTATCCAGCTGTAATAGAGCCAAACTTGCAGCTTGGGTTGTATACTCCCAGTGGAGATGAGAATGTGTATCCAGCTGTAATAGAGCCAAACTTGCAGCTTGGGTTGTATACTCCCAGTGGAGATAAGAATGTGTATCCAGCTGTAATAGAGCCAAACTTGCAGCTTGGGTTGTATACTACCATATGGAGATAAGAATGTGTATCCAGCTGTAATAGAGCCAAACTTGCAGCTTGGGTTGTATACTCCCAGTGGAGATAAGAATGTGTATCCAGCTGTAATAGAGCCAAACTTGCAGCTTGGGTTGTATACTACCATATGGAGATAAGAATGTGTATCCAGCTGTAATAGAGCCAAACTTGCAGCTTGGGTTGTATACTACCATATGGAGATAAGAATGTGTATCCAGCTGTAATAGAGCCAAACTTGCAGCTTGGGTTGTATACTCCCAGTGGAGATGAGAATGTGTATCCAGCTGTAATAGAGCCAAACTTGCAGCTTGGGTTGTATACTCCCAGTGGAGATGAGAATGTGTATCCAGGTGTAATAGAGCCAAACTTGCAGCTTGGGTTGTATACTCCCAGTGGAGATAAGAATGTGTATCCAGCTGTAATAGAGCCAAACTTGCAGCTTGGGTTGTATACTCCCAGTGGAGATGAGAATGTGTATCCAGCCGTAATAGAGCCAAACTTGCAGCTTGGGTTGTATACTCCCAGTGGAGATGAGAATGTGTATCCAGGTGTAATAGAGCCAAACTTGCAGCTTGGGTTGTATACTCCCAGTGGAGATAAGAATGTGTATCCTGTAATAGAGCCAAACTTGCAGCTTGGGTTGTATACTCCCAGTGGAGATGAGAATGTGTATCCAGCTGTAATAGAGCAAATCTATCTTTAACACGGACTTTACGTCCCTGAATAACAGTCCTGTATAATCACCGAGGTATTCAATACTCCGTCATTGTGCAATGGCAACATAGGACAATGTTAATGACATGTGACGCTAATTCATTGACAAGTATCTTATTATCAGGAACAATCCTAGAGCTTTAATACTTGCTTCTATACTCTACCCTGAAATCTCGTTTACTCGAACTGATTACTGTTTTAAACGATGCAATTGTTTGACCCTTGCAGAAATAATTCTCATATATCGACGCCCCGCTTTTATTGAATTACATATCAAAGGAAATAATATTATGGTCCCCATGACATGGAGGTAACGATGTTATGCCGTGTATGACGAACGCAGTGTAACTATATTATCCGAAATCATCCTGAACGACTCTGTGATTCGATATCAACTCTCCCCCCCCCCCCCCTCCATTGTCTCGAAAAACAGACAAATCGACATACTTCTCGACCACTTATATTCCAGTTAATGTTATGTTTAGTATTTTGAAATCCCCCTCTAGTTTCCCAATACTAATCGCGTTAAGTATGATGAGTTGAATAGCAATCGATAAGTTATGACATTAATGTTGAGGACACTCGTTAGCAAATACAAAATCATCAATACCAACTAACATTATCAAATAGCTTAGGATATCGATAACTTAGTGGCTAGTGACGCGTTTAACTTGAAACAGGCGACCATCCAACGTCATGGACAATGACCTTTATATATAGCTGATGGCCTGGATGTATACCGACAGATCGTTTAAACGGTTCCGGGCGGCGGGGTAGCCTTGTACTTAAAGCGTTCGCTCGTCACGCTGAAGGCCGGGTTCGATTCCCCACATGGGTGCAATGTGTGAAGCCCATTGCTGATGTCCCCCGCCGTGATATTGCTGGAATATTGCTAAAAGCGGCGAAAAACTATACTCACATAAACGCTTTCAGGGGCTGTTTCATAATTCCATAACAAGCTCAGACAATACAATGTTGGACATCCAAGGAACCATTTCCTATTTTACAATAACTTACTGTTATATCTTTCAAGAAATGTTTTAAAGATATTATTTAAGATAAACAACTTCAATTCTCCTTTGAAATGTAGTTATAAGTGTGGCATAATATAAATAGACTTAATTATGCGATGATGATGCATTATTTCATCAAAGGCAACTCACGCAGTTAGATGGAGTTTGTTACATGTCTCATCTGGACTCTTTGATATTGTTCACAGGCTTGTCGAGATTTAATGCGCGGAAACCAAATTACTCGACAAAAATAACTTTTGAGACTTCACTGATTCCAGTTGCCGTACCTGAAGGATAAACAAGCTACTAACTTCTTTTAGGAGATATACTATAGCATCATCTCATTAGATGTCGATACCATCTTAAAAACAACCTGTCGGTCTTTTTCAATAGGTGAGAGGCATCAAGTAGTTTACAGTAGTAAAATCAAACAACACGACATGTGTAAAAATGGTAAATTTAGCTTTATAAGACAGTTTGTTTAGATGGCTAAGAGGAGGTGAAGCCAGCAACTCACAGCGGTATAATTGCTCAGAGCATATGGGAAGGAAGAACGTATCCGTCTGAAGGAAAATGCTTGCCAACTGTATACACAATTGTCAGTGTTCTGCTTTACACGTCGAGTGATTGTCGGAAAACGATTGCCCTGAGAAGACTACGCTAATGTCGATTGAGAAGCTGGTGTTTGTGTTTGGTGTTAGTAGCGTTCAAAGAGAAAAGGCATGGCACGTCACTTCAGTACATCTGGCTTTTGTAACGTATAAATTCTCGAACAACTTTAGCATGAAAATTATGAACATTGTTGAGGTAAGGCCTTCTTTGATAAACAGGTGCGCATGTAATGGAGTTTGTGTGTATGTGTTAAAATGGTAAGGGAAAAGTGGCCGATTGCAAAATTTATTAAAAGTATCCGCTTCCTAAAAGTCTGAGGTTGCAGTTTGTTGATCTCATTGCGTACATTTTCGTATGGGATACAAACCAAACCGGTGAATTTGTTTTGTTATGGTGCCATTGAAAACAAGCATATACAAACATCGGTTGAAACACTTTTTATGACACGAAGTCTTTAATCTGGATATAACGTAGACCTGCAGAAACACCTTTCAGTTGCTGACAACGTCTCCGTTATGTAGGACGGTGCTCCATAAATTGAAAGAAATGAGTGAGTTGGATTTTACGCCCTGATAGCATCACTATATGCGTTATCAGGAGACACCAACAGGTGAGTACTGTAGCTCACTTAAAGATATAATGGCGGCCATGTGTAAAGTCCGATTGGGATTCTGAGCAAATGTAAGACAGACAATAGCTGTGATCGATCAAAACAGTGTCAGCTTCACACACCATATAGTTTCAGAAGTAAAAGCATACAGCATCAGAAGAAAAACTGGGTCAAACGAAGATCAAAGATCTTAGCTAGATCTCATACAGTTTCAGCTCTATAGGTCATGTGGTATATGAGAGGAAACAAACTATTACACTTAAACATGGGTTTAACATGGGTTTAAGGGAAAGCTTGCGTGTGGTGTTACGTCACATTCAGCAATACCCAAGGTATATAACGGCGGTCTGTAAACAGTCGAGTCACATCAGCAATACTCCAGGTATATAACGGCGGTCTGTAAACAGTCGAGTCACATCAGCAATACTCCAGGTATATAACGGCGGTCTGTAAACAGTCGAGTCACATCAGCAATACCCCAGGTATATAACGGCGGTCTGTAAACAGTCGAGTCACATCAGCAATACCCCAGGTATATAACGGCGGTCTGTAAACAGTCGAGTCACATCAGCAATACCCCAGGTATATAACGGCGGTCTGTAAACAATCGAGTCACATCAGCAATACCCCAGGTATATAACGGCGGTCTGTAAACAGTCGAGTCACATCAGCAATACCCCAGGTATATAACGGCGGTCTGTAAACAGTCGAGTCACATCAGCAATACCCCAGGTATATAACGGCGGTCTGTAAACAGTCGAGTCACATCAGCAATACCCCAGGTATATGACGGCGGTCTGTAAACAGTCGAGTCACATCAGCAATACCCCAGGTATATAACGGCGGTCTGTAAACAGTCGAGTCACATCAGCAATACCCCAGGTATATAACGGCGGTCTGTAAACAATCGAGTCACATCAGCAATGCCCCAGGTATATAACGGCGGTCTGTAAACAATCGAGTCACATCAGCAATACCCCAGGTATATAACGGCGGTCTGTAAACAATCGAGTCACATCAGCAATACCCCAGGTATATAACGGCGGTCTGTAAACAGTCGAGTCACATCAGCAATACCCCAGGTATATAACGGCGGTCTGTAAACAGTCGAGTCACATCAGCAATACCCAAGGTATATAACGGCGGTCTGTAAACAGTCGAGTCACATCAGCAATACCCCAGGTATATAACGGCGGTCTGTAAACAGTCGAGTCACATCAGCAATACCCAAGGTATATAACGGCGGTCTGTAAACAATCGAGTCACATCATCAGCAATACTCCAGGTATATAACGGCGGTCTGTAAACAGTCGAGCCACATCAGCAATACCCCAGGTATATAACGGCGGTCTGTAAACAGTCGAGTCACATCAGCAATACCCCAGGTATATAACGGCGGTCTGTAAACAATCGAGTCACATCAGCAATACCCCAGGTATATAACGGCGGTCTGTAAACAATCGAGTCACATCAGCACATCAACAATAGTCACATCAGGTATATAACGGCGGTCTGTAAACAGTCGAGTCACATCAGCAATACCCCAGGTATATAACGGCGGTCTGTAAACAATCGAGTCACATCAGCAATACCCCAGGTATATAACGGCGGTCTGTAAACAGTCGAGTCACATCAGCAATACCCAGGTATATAACGGCGGTCTGTAAACAGTCGAGTCACATCAGCAATACCCCAGGTATATGACGGCGGTCTGTAAACAGTCGAGTCACATCAGCAATACCCCAGGTATATGACGGCGGTCTGTAAACAGTCGAGTCACATCAGCAATACCCCAGGTATATAACGGCGGTCTGTAAACAGTCGAGTCACATCAGCAATACCCCAGGTATATAACGGCGGTCTGTAAACAATCGAGTCACATCAGCAATACCCCAGGTATATAACGGCGGTCTGTAAACAGTCGAGTCACATCAGCAATACCCCAGGTATATAACGGCGGTCTGTAAACAGTCGAGTCACATCAGCAATACCCCAGGTATATAACGGCGGTCTGTAAACAGTCGAGTCACATCAGCAATACCCCAGGTATATAACGGCGGTCTGTAAACAGTCGAGTCACATCAGCAATCAGCAATACCCCAGGTATATAACGGCGGTCTGTAAACAGTCGAGTCACATCAGCAATACCCAAGGTATATAACGGCGGTCTGTAAACAGTCGAGTCACATCAGCAATACCCCAGGTATATGACGGCGGTCTGTAAACAGTCGAGTCACATCAGCAATACCCCAGGTATATAACGGCGGTCTGTAAACAGTCGAGTCACATCAGCAATACCCCAGGTATATAACGGCGGTCTGTAAACAATCGAGTCACATCAGCAATACCCCAGGTATATAACGGCGGTCTGTAAACAGTCGAGTCACATCAGCAATACCCCAGGTATATAACGGCGGTCTGTAAACAGTCGAGTCACATCAGCAATACCCCAGGTATATAACGGCGGTCTGTAAACAGTCGAGTCACATCAGCAATACCCCAGGTATATGACGGCGGTCTGTAAACAATCGAGTCACATCAGCAATACCCCAGGTATATAACGGCGGTCTGTAAACAGTCGAGTCACATCAGCAATACCCAGGTATATGACGGCGGTCTGTAAACAGTCGAGTCACATCAGCAATACCCCAGGTATATAACGGCGGTCTGTAAACAGTCGAGTCACATCAGCAATACCCCAGGTATATGACGGCGGTCTGTAAACAATCGAGTCACATCAGCAATACCCCAGGTATATGACGGCGGTCTGTAAACAGTCGAGTCACATCAGCAATACCCCAGGTATATAACGGCGGTCTGTAAACAGTCGAGCCACATCAGCAATACCCAAGGTATATAACGGCGGTCTGTAAACAATCGAGCCACATCAGCAATACCCCAGGTATATAACGGCGGTCTGTAAACAATCGAGTCACATCAGCAATACCCCAGGTATATAACGGCGGTCTGTAAACAGTCGAGTCACATCAGCAATACCCCAGGTATATAACGGCGGTCTGTAAACAGTCGAGTCACATCAGCAATAC